AGAGGAACAGGAAGAGGAACAGGAAGAAGAGGAACAGGAAGAGGAAGAAGAGGAACAGGAAGAGGAACAGGAAGAGGAAGAAGAGGAACAGGAAGAGGAACAGGAAGAGGAAGAAGAGGAGGAAGAGGAACAGGAAGAGGAACAGGAAGAGGAACAGGAAGAGGAGGAAGAGGAACAGGAACAGGAAGAGGAACAGGAAGAGGAAGAAGAGGAAGAAGAGGAACAGGAAGAGGAAGAAGAGGAGGAAGAGGAACAGGAAGAGGAAGAAGAGGAACAGGAAGAGGAAGAGGAACAGGAAGAGGAAGAAGAAGAGGAACAGGAAGAGGAAGAAGAGGAAGAAGAGGAAGAAGAGGAGGAAGAGGAACAGGAAGAGGAAGAGGAGGAAGAAGAGGAACAGGAACAGGAACAGGAAGAGGAAGAAGAGGAACAGGAAGAGGAAGAAGAGGAACAGGAAGAGGAACAGGAAGAGGAAGAAGAGGAACAGGAAGAGGAACAGGAAGAGGAACAGGAAGAGGAAGAAGAAGAGGAACAGGAAGAGGAAGAAGAGGAAGAAGAGTTTACTACTGTACAGCCTGTAAACACTGGACAGAGTCTCCTCCTGCCGACCCAAACCAAACCGACCAGAACCGACCTAGGATGCTAGGATTGATAATTCAGTTTATTTTGTAATTTCTGCCACTAGCAGAGTTTTGATTTGCTGATTGGATGGAAACGATCAATCTGATTGATTGATTGATTTTATTGGTTGTGAATAGAGCTGCTTTACTACCTACTTTATAATTTCTGTTTTGGTTTTAGACCCGGGGAGTCAGAGTGGAGCGAGTGTTTCAACAACGACTGAAACGATTAATCAGTAACTGAAATAATTGTTAACTAATTCAGTGATTGATTAATAGTTAACTGGGCTCTGAAAAATCCCGGTGACACAAACACAACGCCTCGGGAATCGTTTGCTCAGGAAAACTGCGATTCTTGAATCTGCCCCCCTTCAGCAGACAGTTCAGAAATAAAACTCAGAGTTTGAAGCCAGTTTGTCCATTTTTCAGAGAAACACACACACACACACACACACACACACACACACACACACACACACACACACACAGAGGCTGGTAATTCACTATTAATTCAAGGCACTTCATCGCTGAAACTCTGCCAACTTGAATTGTCTCACAGAGATGATGGACTGAAAGAAGAGGAAGAGAAGAGTTTCATGTGAAACGACATCACTTCCTCTGCATAAAATAACCTGAACACCGCGGTGATGTGACCAGCGATGCTGCGCTGACAACATGAACGTCCGCTCCGAAGAGCCCAGGAAAAATAAATCTGCTGCAAAGTCAGATTTAATAACCGGATCAAATTATGGAAAATCAGGAAACGCAGAAACAAAAAGTCCAGGAAACTAAATCAAAAGATCCAATAAGCTCTGATAAAACACAAGTTTATCCACCAACCCAAACACACACACACACACACACACACACACACACACACACACACACACACACACACACACACACACACACAGATAAAGCTGATTAACAAAGAATCCCAAGGTGCAGAAAAGTCTGCGATGCTGTTTGTGAGGCTACATGGTCAAAAATTAACAATTCCTGTCAGAGAAAAAGATGGAGGTTAAGTGTTATTCATGAATTTATGTCACAGATTAAACTAAATATTTAATGAGATTCTAAATATTTACAGCATCTGCTCCACCTCCAGCTGCTGTGGCTCTGAGTCAAACCAACCTGTTCCCCTCCTGGCCTGTGGGGGCGCTGCACCAAGAACCACTGAAGGAAACTCTGAAGACACTGAGAGCAACTTCCTTCTTCACCAGATGGAAACAAGATGGAGGCGTCAGATTTTAGCGGTTGGAGGATTTCTCTTTAGGCTAAAGACCAGGAGCCATTTCTGCTGCTGGTGCTAGGCTAGCACATTAGCTTTGGTTGTGTTTACCCAAAATCCCCTGCGCTGTAGTGCACTTCCTGCTTCTGGTCCACTTGGTGTTGACATATCAAACCAGAGTTGGACTGAACCGAAACCAGACGAGGTGTGGAGGACCAGAGAGGATCCGATTGTCTTAAGAAGTTTCTCAGGTTTCTGCGTCTGAGCTGCAGGTTTTTCTAGGTTCGTCTCCAACCCTCTGATTGGTTGTGCGTCTGTAGGAAAAGATGTTTATATAACCAGATCAGCTGACCGGCTCCTCTGTGGTTCTACATGTCGATGTTATTTTGTCGTTAAATGTCAGAGAATCGTTCAGAGGAACTGTTCAGCAGCTGCTTCTCTCTCCAGTCAGAATTAAACTCCAGATCCAAACTTGTTGTTTGGGGAGCGCCGTTCATGTTGCTTTGGTGATTGACAACCTCTGACTGCTCTCCCCATACGACTGATTAATCAGAATCGCTGCTCCCTGATTGGCCGGCTGACACACTGACACAGTGACTGACAGCAGGATAACCTGATTACCGGCGCGACCTGGCAGCCCGTCCAGGCTGCAGCGCCTCTGCTCTCTGATTGGCTGCCAGGCTAATTGACTTGCAAAGAGGAAGCAGCAATTAGAAGAGAAACAACAGGAGCGCTCCACCCGGCCGTCCTCCATGATGACTTTCTGATTGCAATCACGACCGCCGCATAAAGAGACGCACATAAACACACCGTCACCGTGGAAAACGCCGCCTGCGTTCAGCCTGTAGCAGCGATCTGATTGGCCGGAGCGAGAACAGGACATGAACACCGGCAGGAACGTTCAGCGCTACCGTAACGTCCAGACGTAACGTTCAAACTGCGATGCAGATAAAATATGACTTTTCACCAGCAGACAGCTCAGCGGTGAGTTCACCTCGAGACAAGAGGGAGAGAGTGACGAGTTCAAACCACTTCAGAGGGAAGGAGGAAGATGAAGATAGAGATCCAAAACTATTCCTGTTAATCGAGGTTCAACTAAAGGAAAACCTTTACAGAAAACTGTCGTCTGTCATAAATCTCTCTCATGTATAGTTCACCCTCCTGGCCACTTGGAGGAGACATTTTCAACTTTACGCTCAGTAAATGGCAGATGGAAGGCATCGATAAAATTCCTCTCCGAGTGTGAACCGGACCCAGTGGCGCAACTGCACATTATTCAGGTGGATGCGAAAACATGAACCCCCCCGAGGGAAGAAACTTCAGGGTGAAGGACCGACGCTGCATACCCACTTTTTGCGCCTCTGACCGGACCCTAACCCCCGAACCGGCTTCAATCCAGCTGACTTTGATCCATTCAATGTTCCGTGATTTCCAAACTCTGGCTGAAGTGGAGCTCGTAGTTCCAGCCTCCAGCAATTCATCCAGAGGTCAGGAGAAAAGATCATGTCCATAACCTCAGTGCGATTATTTAATTTTATTGTGATTATTCTGACTGCAGTCGGCGGTCTCAGAGGAAGTTACATGTAACATTAGAAAACAACCTTTCTATGTAAATATCATGGTAGATACCTGCAGCTTTTAGACGAGTGCGGTCTTTATGTGAAAAATTGTAAAGTGAGTGGGTGTGGCTCACATTCAATAGACCAGAAATTACCGTAAATGTTGTAGTAGCCTCGAAAGGACTCCTTAATAAAGCCTCAGCGTTTCCCTCCAAACCTCAGGAACCAATCACGGTCCAGCAGAGACAACCTCAGGAACCAATCACGGTCCAGCAGAGACAACCTCAGGAACCAATCACGGTCCAGCAGAGACAACCCAACGTCCAGGATGTTTTCTGACTTTCATCCACCATCTTGATTCTGCCCAAAGGTCTCCATAGAGAGGTTTGGTATCTACGGCGCCCCTGCTGACCAGATAACTCAGTAATTTGTCCACTTCAAGGACTGATGAGGAAGTCAGTAAATCAGAGGTTTGCTTCAGCTCTAATGGTTTGTTTATATTCCCCCTGCTGCCTCTGAGCCTCCAGATAAGCTGAGCGTTTCTCCATGTCGGCGTGTTAACTCCAGCAGGTCGTTACCGGCGCCGCTGACCTTCATCAGGACCATCACCATCACTCCATTTCCAGGAAGCCTCTCCGCAGGAGGCGTCGCTGCGGTCGGGACGCGTCGTAAAGCCGCGCCGCCGCGGGATTTATGGATTTATTCATCAGCTTCTGAAAAGGTCAGGCAATTTTCCAGGTCGCTGCCCAAACAAACCCACACAGAGGATCCGGACGATCCGGAGGATCCGGCCGACCGGAGGCCATGTTGGCAGGTGCGCACACACCACCAGCACGTGCGCGCCCACAGCTTAAGTACCGCGCACGTGCTAATGGTGCGGGGGAGAGTTTGTGTGATGCCGGTAGCTGTCTGCACGGCGGCTGCTGTGGTTAATGAGTTTGAAAGGTCAAACGCCTCTTCCTGAGATTAATGGGCTTCCCTGGTTTACGAGCCGCAGACCGACACGGATCCGACCGACACGCCGCGGCGTCAGGAGGCCCGCGGGCCGCCGGCGGACCGCCAGGGGCCGCAGGGTTGGTCATTACGTCATGTCAGCGTTTTGTTCTCACTGCGGCTCAGTACGTGACTAAAACTCTCCTTCTGTTGTTCTACAGCCATTAATAACTTTTTGTTGATGATTGTGTGAAGTTTATTTTTTTAGAAATGGGAAATTACATTTTAATTAGCATTAGATTAAAGCCAGGTGGCTAATTTCCATATGGCGTTTGATGTTTAATAATAATAATAATAATAATAATAATAACAAGCAGCCTCAGTACTGCACACTAAAACTCTTCATGAAGGAGAAAAGCAGGTAAATAAGCAGCTGATCTATAATGGTTCAATAATCCTGACTTTAAGTTGATAAGTGGAACAGATTTAACATTGACGAAGTATTTCCTTATCTGAAAAATAATAAAGTAAAACTTCATCAAATTCTCATTTATTTCTCATTTTAACATGTTTATATTGAAGTTCTGATAAAATTACTACTTTATTCTCTCAGTCTTCTGAATTTAAATCTAAATATTCTGGTGGAGTCGACCTGAATCCAAACAGAAGCTTTAAAACGTTTGGCTAACAAGATGGCCGCCCTGGGCGAGCTGACATCACCATGGAAACACATGAAAGCATTGGGGGGAAAAAATCCACATTTTCCTGAAATTAAATCATCAAAAACCAAAAATGTTATGAATAAATGAAAGTCCGTTTATAATCCGGCTTTAGGTCGACCTTCTGATCGGCTCCCGGTGAAAAATCAGGTCCATCAGTTATTGATTCCTTTAAAGAATCAGGTCTGTTTTCCAGGGTCCGCATCACTTTGTGGGCAGTACTGGGAGGACTGGGACCAGACTGGCTGAGGCTGAGAGGAAGGCCAACACGGTTAACCTTCGTGCTCCTCTTCCTCAGCTGCTCCCTGACACACGGAAACTGAGGGAGAAATGGGTCATGAAAGGTCAAACTGGGGCTTTAACTGGGAATAAAGATCTGGATGCAGTAAATAAAGAAACAAGAGGAAAAGGTCGGGAAGGCAGGAGGATTGGATCAGACTTCATCTGCTGCAGATCTAATCATCCAGAGTCGCAGAGAACAGCTTCTCTCTCTGAGGCGGCTGTTAGTGTCACAGGAACCAGACAAAACGTCTCTGTTTGGTTCCCATCATGCCCCCCGCATTAAAGCACTGACTGTTTACACCCAGAGCGCCGCGTCCTGCCAAACCCGCGCTCCACCCAAACAAACCGCCATTCATCACATTTACACCCCGAGGAGGCTGCCAGCAGCCGCTGCCTCCATCCGTCAGCAGGAAACCCAAACTCCAGGAACGCTTCGCTCCCTCCTGCTCCGACGTTCTGCACACAACCTTTGCAGAACCTTTGCAGAAACCCTGGAGGTGTTTGAAACCTGAACTTTCTACTGCAGCTTCAGAAATGTGGGCATATTCATCAGGTGATGAATATGCATCATCAGACGATGCCTCTGTGTCTCATTCGTATAAATAACCCAGCTGGAGAAACCGCAGAAACCAGACGAGCTTCAGATGAAACTAAAACATGGAAACTTCCTGTGTGAATGTGGAGATTATCCATCAACACACACACCTCTGATCTGACCTCTGCTGCACAGAAGGTCGTTTGTAGGTCACATGAGTCGGCCTCAGGCGCCGAGGTTCAGTCATCTGGGAAATCAGACAATACTCCACTCAACGTCACCAAATGATTATTTATGAAAACTCTGACGAAGTTGGAAATTTGATTAATAATTTTTGTTTGTTGTAAAGCAGATTTTGTTTCACTGTTTGCAGCAGTTCATCCACATTCCTCTGACACGCCTCCTGACCTGCATCGTCTCGGTTTAATAACTTATATTCTAACAAGATGTTTAAAAATAGTTCAGCTGATTTGTCTGCCTCCATGTCTAACAGGAAGTCGACACTGATTGGCTGACATCGGCTTTAGCTCTGTCTCCTGAAAAACGGCGATCAGTAGCAGAGACGTTTTTATTTGGATGAAAACTTTTCCATGTTTACGATATTTCTTAAAAACAACGTGTGGAAAATATTTGTTTTATAAAACAGATTTTGTGAATATTGCATCCATTTGTGCTCATTAGTGTTGCTCTGCCTGATGGTCAGCTCTCTTTCCCCGCCTTTCATTTCATCCTGTTTTCCTCTCCTCCATCCTTTCATTTCATCCTGTTTCCTCTCTTCCATCCTTTCATCTCATCCTGTTTCCTCTCTTCCATCTCTTCATTTCATCCTGTTTTCCTCTCTTCCATCTCTTCATTTCATCCTTTTTTCCTCTCTTCCATCCTTTCATTTCATCCTGTTTTCCTCTCTTCCATCTCTTCATCTCATCCTGTTTTCCTCTCC